AGACAGGAAACATGAGAAGCAAGACTACAACTCGGTCATCGTATGAAACCAAACAGGACTGTGTGATTATGTAGCATCTATAACAACTAGGCCACCAGGATGCCCAACACACCTTTATTTCCAGGCACGTTCCCACTTCTCTCAAGAGCTTCACTGAGTGCATGTGGAAACCACACGGAAGGCGTCACGCTAGCATGAGAAATGCTGTGAGGGAACAGCGCTGACATCAGGGACCAGAAAGAGTCTATATAATCCGCTTTCATCAAGCCTCTGGAGACCAGCCTGGCCCCAACACCAGATGTTTGCTAGCAATTGTAGTTTTTTTCTGCTACCATCAGTGAAAAACTACACAGTTACTGTGTGAGTGTGTGTGTGTGTGTGTGTATATGTGCATGCTTGGGGGAGGTTGTGCACGTATGTGTTTGCATCCAAGATATTGTTCGTAACCATGATTAATTACTAATTATCATAATTGTGGTATAGGTTAACCAACAGAGTATTTCTTCACACACACTGTTTACATGTACAGTGTTGTTGCCTTTCTTCATGACTGTAAGCTGAAGAAGGCCGTGACCATTCAATTAAAGTGCCTACGCATATATTGTGCAAGGACATCCACCACTGATACTACTACTACTAACATTACATCAAAGCTTATAGTCGATTACAGGAAGAGATGACACAATGGCAGCAAAGAGTATCAGCAATGCTTTTAATTAATTGTTACAATTGTCCTTGTCTTACAACAATATAGTTTGCCTCTGTACAGTCATAATGTACTGTGATCCATCTGTATGGTAATTGTGTATAAAGAGTGTGCCTGCAATAGGCCATCCTATCACGCCACCTTGCACATGACCTGCCTGAATAAGCAGGGCTTCCTGAGTGACAAGGTCATACGGGGGGAACTAACCCTGCCTGCAGGAGGGTTCAGTTACCTCTCCTAAGTGAAAATTTCTACTACTTCTTCTTTGGAGCAGCACGTTCACCATTAATGCGGCCTGTAAATACCATGAGAGGGGCCTGTGGTTGAAAACACTTGCATAGTTTGTTAATCTGACCAAAGTGACCTTATTCTATCAATGACCAGAGGCACAGCAGCTCCACCTTACACCTTACGGAGCCTTGTTACCCGGAAACACAAGCTGACCAATTCATATTTGAATACACCTTGAACCCTTTAATGGTACCCTCTATTATTTGGCAGAGCACATTTTGAAAAGTGTTATATTTAACTCAACCTGATTGCACCATCTTGAGCACTTAAGTATGTTAGGTACAAAAAAATACACGAGACCTTTTCAGGAGGCAGAACCATCATTCTTGGTTTGTGGCTTGTTTATGGAGGATTTTAATGCAGGTCGATTGCAAAGAGCTAATTGGACATAGTCATGTGAATCCAAATCCCAAGAAAAGGCTGGTGACTTTGTGATAACATTTTCTACTAATTGGTAAAGATGTCCATTGCTGTAATGGTAAAGATGCAGACAATGTTTTAACCAAGCAGGTAACACTTTAACCTCCGCATTTAGCAACACTTTACAAACATGTATTAAATGGCTAATAACAAAAAATAAAAAGACATTTTAAGTGTTAGTAATGTATAGTATTTGTAAATAACTTGCAATTGCAACTGCTTCTATGAAGACATATTACATATTACTATTATTACTGTAAACTGTTTACTTAATCATTTGATATTTATACACCTGCATCCACCACAGGAGGAGTAATAGTTCTTAGGATATACATTAATTAACACTTATATTACTGCATTATAGTATGTTAGATTTTATTAAAGGTTAATATACTGCGTATAAATGCTAAATAGGATGGTTAAAGTAATGTAACATTTCTGATAATAAAATACTGTGAATACAATAATGTTATTTCATTGATCATTTATTAAAAAATATTATATCAGTATCATTTACCTGATGTTTGCAATGAAAATAAATTCACTGATGAGGTATATCCAGGGTGAAACTTATAGTATCGGTAATAATGAATTATCAAAGATTAATTTAAGCACAATAACTCAGTTTTTTTGTTATACTTATTACTGTAGATGGACATGTTGGTAGAGGCTCAGTTGAGGGAAGAAAAGTTATTGTTAGTGCCCAAAGGAACTAAAAATTATTTTTCCATTGCTTTTACTGGGTAGGACCATTACAGGGTTAAAGAAGGACCACCATATGTGTACAGCAAACGATCTCTACTGTAGGTATGACTAATGTACTGTTGATGGGAGGTCTCACCTGACAGCCCGTATGAGTGTCTTTACTGCTGGGATTACGTCCTCCATGGCCACGTCACAATATGGTTTGTCTTCCACGCTGTCCTCCCCAACCCCCTCCACTGAGCCAAAACAGAGGAAGATATATTATTATGCAGAAATGATCCTTTTGAGTGTGAGTGAAAAGTGTTTGGATATGTGTGAGTTGCCTACCATCAGCGGGTGGACGTGGTTTGAGGCGAAGGGAGGTGCGAAAGCGTGTGCGGTCATTGAAGCTCCAGCTCTTCTGGACCTTCCCCGGGCTGGTGGCTTCAGGGACATTCTCCTGGCTGGGAGAGTGGCGGACGTTGGAGCCCGGGGGCAGCGGCGATGCCTTGTTCCGAATGTTTTGGGATGATCGGGAATTGTTCATCCTGATCCGATCCCGGAAGCCCATTTTACCGCTGACAATGAAGATAAAAAAGTCAAATATCTGCACGCACAGTATTCCCTTTGGATCATGACGGGGTTTTTCTCAATCATCACAATGTCCATGCCTTTGACCTTAATGGAAAGCTAAGCTGTGTTATCCGGGGAGTTTAGGGCAGCAGCAGAAGGGCAGCCTGAGTTTGTTAGAAAAGAGTTTGTTAGTAATAGTGAATTAACACAGAAAATATGGCCTCTGACTTTTGTAACAATCATCACAGAGACTCCCCAACAAACAGACAAAACAGGGACATAAACAGACATTTACATTTTGTCTCAGGCAAGGACAGACTAGCTGACTTATCACGGCGGCAGACTGACCGCAGGGACCCACTCAATATTGCTAAAAACTGATTCTGCCCTGAGGATTTGCTCTTTTAATGTGCCTATCATAGCACCTGATTCAGCGAAATCAAGACTGAAACCTGATTCAAGACTTGCAGTAGTGCTGGGACGGCAGAAAATGTTCCACCCACCATCAGAATAAAGACACGCTTCCTTAATCCCTTCAACGGAGTGAATAAGCATCAAAATATTGGCTTCAAAGTACTCTATACAACTCACCACAACCCAAGGCAGGCCAGTATGTGAGGCCATCTATTTACAGGAGGAAAGCCATTTGGCGGCCATTCTCTCCGACAGACTGACTCCTAACGCTGCTGTGATAGCATGCTCTTGAGACCACTGCTTCTCTGTAGCCACTTACATGTTACATACTGTCACGGATCCATGAGGAAATGCAAACATCATGCACCACAGAGCAATTCCAGCCCCAGTTCACTCTTTTACTATTTTTTTTTTGGAACGATGATATACTCTTTGTTGTGCGTGTGTTATGGCCGGCCATTTAAATTAAAATTTAAATAGTTAAGGGATGTTGGTGTAAACAGCATTTCATACAAGGAAGCTGAAATGCTTCAGGTAGAGTGAAGAGAATGGGGAAAATAGAGTGAAAGGCCTTTGCATGCTGTCGGGAAGGGAAGTAAATGATTTGGATGCATCCAGGACCATAAACTTCACTGAATCGTTCCAAAACATTGGAAGAATATCGCATGCAAACAGAAACATTTTAGCACTTAAAAACCTTTTAAAAACACACTGATTTTGTACAAAGGTTTTATGACTAATCGGAAAAAGGAAAGCATGCTGAATCATTTAAACCTTTTCTCCAAGAAGATGCTTTAAATAAGCCAAGCAAACTGAATTGAAAACAAGTCAAGAGCAGGTCAATTCTTTTGACTTCAGCTCCAATTTTGGAAAAGTTGTCACTTATTTTTGAGTGGATATTTTATCTCCTCATTTCATCAGAGACGTCTGATGAAAGATTTTAGATGTCAACTAAAAAAGCATTTTCGTCATATTGTCATAAACCATCAAGGACTGTTGTGTTTTCAACATATGGCTTATCATGATGTCCAAGCCAAACGAGCAAAATCAGCCCCAGTTTCTCAAGCACATAAGACTGAGCTGGAAACAAGAGCATGTCTTGTCAGTGAAGAATTCACTCAAGCATTTGTGGACCAGAGTATAGTGCCTGTTTAAGTATTTAATTGGTGCAGGATATGGTTGAAAATAAGACAAATATCTGCTTTGACAGGGTATTTAATTTATCTAATTCTTCTTTATGAAACTCACAAGCTGTGAATGGTTTGATGCTTTAACATGCTTAAACATTTAGCAGGCTGCCGCACCAGTTCACAAATTTTTGAGTGTTTCAGGCAAGGTGTGCAAGGTGTGTGAGTTAAACGAGGAGAAGGAGTGATGTTATTGATCAGATGACGTTCTAGCGTGCCCCGTGCACAGGCTTGTTGCCATGGATACCTCTGCTTGCGGCCAGCGTGAATCCGGAAGAGACCCCGTTTTTTAGAAAGGAGCTGACTGAGGAGACACACAAGGCAGAGGGAGAGAGGGTGAGGGGAAGAGAGGAGTGGAAGAAGGGACGGGTGGGGTGAGGGAGGACGAGAAGTTCTGGGACACAACCTGGGTACATGGTGAACCCGTGAAAAACCATGGAGAGAGGTTGAGACGGCGGGGGAGGGTGAGGTGTGACATCTCAATAGTCCAAATAGCCCTTTCCTTTCCTGATCTTGTTGCCTTACCTGGAAAGCTGGAAAACATACTTCTGAGAGGCAGTTTTGGATTATAGAGACGCACTCAGTGAGAAGTGAGGAGGTCGGTTTGAAGGATCATGCAAAGGTAGTAGGTAATGTTTCACCTGAGTATATTCATCAAGACAGCCCATTAAACATCATGGTGTGACAGCAGCTCCTCAAATCGAAGACATTTCTACCAGCAAAACTTGAATTATCCAGTAATTCATTCACTAATGTGCTTCTGTCATCTAATGCATGCAATACCATGAGTCCCTTTATTGCCCTGCCATTTGTTTAAGGTTTATGTTGAATCGAATACAACAAATCCGTTCTAACTGTGAATACCCTCTAATGAACAAGCACAGCTCTTGACTTGAAGAACAAACCTGCATGGAACTTCTGCCTTCCTGAGAACGGATGAAGGATGGAGGATGGGTGGCATGGAAAAGATACGATGGAAATAAAGGGAAAGAAAGAGGAAGACAGGAAGAGGCAACCAGTAAGTGAACAGCAGGAGGCAGTGGAGATGAGCTAGAGTATGAGCTAAGCAGACAAAGATGCAGAGAAGAAGGGGGGGCCTGCAACACAGTGGTCTCAGATCAGCATTAGTGAAACATTGTTAGATACACAACACACCCATGCAGAGCGCCAGAAGCAGTCAACCCTGATTTTCTTCTATAGGTCCCTGTTGGTACTGTTGTCATTGTGTGTGTGTGTGTGTGTGTGTGTGTGTGTGTGTGTGTGGGTGGGTGGGTGTGAGCATGAGTGTAGGTAGAAATTGGGCCACCTGTCTGGATGCACTGTGAGGCTGTGAGAGGTAGCGGGGTGCGTACCTGTCCCCAGACAGGTAGGGGGCGCTGTAGGGCCGAAGCCCAGACAGCAGCGTGTGGTAGGAGTTGTGGAGAACCTTCTTGGTGTTACGCTGTCGCTGGAGGTGACTGAACAGTAGCGTCAGTTCTCTGACACGCCACGTGCACAAATAAACAAACAACAACAAAAATAGAAAATGACAAATGATCAAAAAAATAACAAAATATGAACAACTGACAAAAAGGCCAAACTTATGGTCCAAATGCTCAAAAGAAGAGGGATTATTGAGAGAAACGATATGTGAGCATTTTAATTTAAGATATTGCAAAATGAAAGTTTTGGCTTGATGACATTTCTATTTGTGTTTCTCATGCTCCCCTCCTTTTAAGCAAATACAAATTAGTCAAATTAATACGTAAATGCAAAGTATAAGAAACCACTGCGTAGGACAAAATTGAATAGTGGTGGCAGAAGCATTTGAAAAGGTTGGGCCCAAATTTAATTTAAATTATTCATTTTAAAATGAGAGTAAGCACCATTCCTTTTTGCTTAAACCACCACAGACCTTAACTGAAAAGGGTTCTTGATGGACAAAAAGTAGCATTTGTGATACAGTATGTGCTGTGTTTTAGCACGATAATACAAATGTATGGGCAGGGACTACACAAATATAAAACTAAATACTGTACACAACTCACTATTTTGTGACACAACTCTCAAATCTCTGTCTGCATTTCTTACAAACAAATGACCAAAGACAACCACAGATTTCTGATAGCTGAATCTACGTAGCCTGATGGGAATTCCTACCTGAATGAAGGCAACATGCTGTCATAGAAGTACCATGTAGCTGTTAGATAGGAGTGCTTAGCATCTGTAGAGTAGAGACGCCACGCAGCCTAAAGAAAGACACAAATGCACAACACCGAAACACAAAGTGAGAGTTAACCTGACTCTGCACTTGAATGTGAATGTATTAAACAGCCTAAACCTTTCACTGTGGCCATTACCTGTATCAGGTTGGCAGCAGGCATCCTCCTCTTCTCAAAATGCTTCTGCCGGTGCTGCTCCTGAACCTTCAAAGCAAAGCCCGAGCCCAGAATTCCCTGAGGGTCAGAGGTCAAATCAAAGTCAGGAGTGCAACTAACAGCGGGAGAGAAGACCCACTAAATTTAGTTAGTGCTCACAAATTCAAAAATAGGCACTGGGTGTACTACGTGTAGCCTATGTATATACATAACTGTGTATATTGTTTGATTTTACTTAATTTATGTTATACGTTACCATATTCTAATATACTTTTAATTATCTGTTAAATTCTCTCTGTATAGCTTGAAGTGACTACAAACTGTCTTTTCGTTATACAACCTTATTTTTCTTTATACAACGTTATTTCAAGGCTTTGTTACCTTAAAATATAAATATATAGATGTGAATATATATGAGACTTACAGCAGGCAGGGCAAAGAAGGAGACTCCCAGAAGAGCGAAGCCGGCAGCTAGGAGCCGTCCCTGCCAGGTGCGAGGGGTCTTATCACCATAGCCAATAGTGGTTAGAGTTATCTGAGGGGGTGAAAAAGTATAGATGATCTCATACACACAACATGATAACAAAATGTAAACTGCAATGGGCTGACACACTGCACTGAGACACAAGACCTGCTTTCTCTTAGGAGTGTTTACTTTAAAAGCTAGGGGCTCCAACAGGTTTAGTGAATGGTATTAAAAAAATATTACATTAGTTATCAGAAGGAGATCACATAGAATATCATAAATGTGTGTGATTTGGTTAAAGAGAGTTCAGAGGTACAGTAGTCTGGGGGGATCAAATTACATATCACGATCCCATAGGCATCCAGGAAATGAGCAAAACTAAAACAAGTAAACGGGGGTTGAGGGAACAAACTTTGTCTGAGTGGAGGCCAACATTCTCAGACTTTGAAATCTGTTCCATATCTAAAAACCTAGAACGCCAGTTAAAGTTATTCACAGAACATACACTACTCCCTAGAAAACTAGAACACTGATTTACACCTGTCATTTGTGTCATATTAATTCTATAGGAATCTTTGTTAACTTGAGTGTCCACATGTCATCAATCTTTTTAGAATTGTGTTACTTTAAATAAGCATTAGCTGATCTCGTTAAAAAAATTCTTTACTCCTACTCCTTGACCTGTCACTCCTTCATGATTCTCATATCAATCTGAAGTTTAAGCAATTTATGGATTTGCTGCTGCTCAGAAAACAATCTTTGGGCGTTCCCTGGTTTCTTAAAATCCTAGGTTACTGCTGATATCTATGTGTAATTACTTTGGTATATATTATTCTGCTGAATATATACGTTTGTAGTAAATCTGGAAAGCTTGACAACAAGAACTGAACAACACTCTACTGATGACGCATGGCAATCCCCCTGAACGGACATCATAAACCTTATATCTCAAAACTGAAAAACAAACACTTTCCCAAAGGTCTTTTGCCTATTATGCACCTCTTTATGTTTGCATTGCCCATTACCCTCTTGTTTTATATCTATAATATTTTGATGACAAAGTAAAATATTATTTCTTCAGCCACAGTGATCCTGTGTGCCTGTGTGAATTGTGTAGTACTCACAGTCCCCCACCAGAGGGAGTCTGCATAGGTGTTGAAGTCTGAGTTGATGTCTTTCTCTGCCAGGTAGACCAGGAAAGAGGCAAAGATAAGGACCAGGAAACCTATGTACCAGGCTGTAATCAACTCCTGAGAGAGAAACAGGAGAGGATGTATCAATCACACCTGTCAGCAGCAGCAGCAACAGCATCTTCTCCATCATAGTCCCTGCTGTCATTACCATTTCACTTTCATCATTATTCCCATCATTATCACATTTGGCTTTAACTTTGACTTGGCTGCACGGTTCTGTTTAGATAGCTGATGCATCAGTTAATCATCATCATCACTGTGTTCTGCAGATAACCGGTGGGTGTCAGGTGTTTAGGTCAGCACAAACTAATTGCCAAAAATGAGCAGCTCGAGGGGAGTTCGGTGTTTTTAGGGTAGTGAATGTGATCAAGTAACAACTGGTCATCAGAAGACTCACCACATATGCCTCAACACTGAGAGTTTTAAGTTATTTATCTGACTAGTAACCATCACGACCATCATCACCAGCCTTTTAATAGTTGTTTCCTAACTCAACCTCTATCCTGCTCATTTAATAATCCGTATATGGCTACCATGCATTTGTATCCTTTTAATTTCCAATGTCTGCACAACTAACCGATGTCTATGAATTATTCTTAAATATAAAGCTGAGCATGTGTAAAAAGAGGACTATATTTAGCATTCCCACCTTGCTGTGAGCGTAAACCACTGAGCCCAATAGTTTCCAGGTGCCTCCCCTTCGGTCCATACGAACCATACGCAAGATCTGCAGGAAACGCATGCTGCGCAGTGCTGACGTGGCAAAGATGTTGCCCTGCGTCCCTGCTGCTATCACTGCCAATGATGCCACAAATACTATGAAGTCTATGGTGAAGACGTCCACAGAGAAAAAACACAGAGAAAAGAGGTGAAGACAAGTCTGTATGAGGTTATAAGATTTAACAAATTTTCACACGTAGGACTTTGACATAGGACTTTGACGTAGGACTTTGACGTAGGACTTTGACGTAGGACTTTGACTCGGGTTGGTGTCCTCTTCACACACACATACAAACCTATGACACAGAAGGGCTTCCTGGCAAATCTCAGCCGTCCCTGCCATCCACGGTATCTGCAGCAACAGCCAGCCGCCCAGATCCTGATGAAGTACTCCAACCCAAACACCACAATCATGACAAACTCCTACAAACCACACACAAGTAAAGGTCAGTGACATGCAGTAGTCAAGCTCAGTGTTTCACAGATTACCCAAACAAATGTATTCCCCACCAATAACCTTTTATGTATTTATTGTTTTATGTTTTCAAAGTTCAGTGTCCTTCAGTTATGTGTGACATTCTGTCATCTCATAGTTTTTGCATAAAATTATGCATGTCAAAAGTGTCCCCTTAACAAAACATCCAAGGTATTCATTTTATTTCATGCAACATACTGGTGTTTATGGATCTTAAGCTATTTAGACATATGTCATAAAAGTTAAAAAGCACATGTGTGGTGAACATCTAAGTCTGGAAGTGAATTTTCCACCCTTTACAATAACACATGAACACACCCCCCTACACTGCGGACAACTACTCATTATTTCTAAATCTGTGTGAAACACTGATAACTGATGCATATTCTTCACACGATGCTCTGTCCTCTATCTATTAAACCTTTGTTATAACATAATATTTGGTGAACAGGCTGGTAAAATAAAGGCTGAAATGTTACAAAGCAAGAATTTTAAGTTCAACACTTAATTGATTAACTTTATATTTTATGAAAGATGAAATGAAAGGATTATAAAAGTTCTAGCATTAACAGTCATAGCCTATTAACATGCCACTTTGTCAGTCTTCCCTCTATCTCTTTGTCTTTCTTGCTTTCAGGTTTTTACTGAATGGGCAGTTTAAGATGCACTGAACCAATCTATCATTAGAGCCAATGTTCGTGTAAGTAAAGTCCACTAATGGGTAATTGCCTGCTAATGGCCGGGTAATGGATCAAAAGAGAGAAGAGAGAGAATGTGAAAGTCAAAAGTCTGACCATTAAATAACACGTAAAGATAAGCAAGGTGGGAAGAGAGACGGGATGGAGAGAGGACAAGTCAGGTTCAGAAGGAGAAAGCAAGTGTCCATTACCTTTCACTAAAGCAGCCGACAAGAGGCAAAGGGAGATTATGGGATAGCTATTAGGATTAGTGGATCATGTCTGTGATTTCCTGCACAGTCAACAACACCTGAATCCTCCCAGCTGCTTACATGGCTGTCTGTGCACAACGTACGCAAACACGTACGGATACACTGCAGTAAGTGAGATGCTCTATGTAAAAGGACAGCGTATAAAAGTGGATGGAAGCTGAAGTAGTCATATGTGTCTGCCTTTTTATATACAGTCTATGGTGTGTGTGTGTGTGTGTGTGTGTGTGTGTGTGTGTGTGTGTGTGTGTGTGTGTGCAACAGCAAAGGAGCGAGAGAGAAGGGGACCTACCAGGATGAAAAGACCTTGGTTGGCAAACTTTTGGTGGTCTGGGATGGTGGAGAACACAGACAACACCAAGCAGCTCAACACCAGCAGAAAACTGAAACACCAATCACACACAGGTCAGTAGACACATTTGAAAACAAACATCAGAAATAAGAAAACTCTTTGGGTTTTATTAATCCCTTCAGAGAAAAAACAAATGGACTAAATAAAATTCATTAAAAATGCTTTGTTCACTCTCTGAGTGATTAACCAAGAGAGAAAAACAAAATTGCAAATAAGCAGGAAAAGATTTGTTGATCCATAACATAATAGGAACATAGCATGCCAAGCCATGTATGATCAGTGGCACAAGAATCAGAACAATGTCACCAAGTTTAGTTGTTTTATGTTATTGAATATACAGTAATAAATATACAGTAGGTATTCAATTCAACACAGTGAATCTGAACATTTACTGTATATGGTTTCATGTAAACTACATTTGAGTGCTGTTAAACTTAAACTCAAATAATCTCATTCCAGCATAAATAAACTGACTGGATGATAGACTCTCTATGTGCTGAAGTAATTTATTGTACTGTAAAATGACTGGTATTATAGCACTTCTTTCAAAGGAAGACTGGAACCCTGCAGCTCTGCTGGCACAGAAAATTACTGTCCCACAGATGTAATGGCCACTTCAGTTAGAGAAGTACTTCAGAATAAAGCACAACATAAATTATGGTGAATGGTATCTTGTGTTCGAGGTGCTCTCACGTTAATATAAACACTTTGTCTCTTCCACGGCACTGGAGAAGTGAGTCTCCACTAGACGATCTCCATCATTAACTCGGGTTCAAGATGAGACAGAGACGAGCAAATCATTTTTTCCTTCTGCTGAGGATCGCACTGTCTAACACCTCTTTAACTAACCAAAACTATTATCACATACATTTCTCGTTCATAGTGCAATTCTCAAAGTCAGCTATTATATTCATGAAGAAAAATGAAAGATGTGGGAGTTCCCTCATGATTAAAACTTAGGAGCCAATAACAAACTACCTCTCAAAGTATTCCTTCCTGTTCAAAAATGTCCTTCACTAGGATGATGCATTAAGTTCAAAGTAAAAACATTTATGTTTTAAATGGTGTGCTGCTGAAAAGAAATATGTTTGCACTTATGTGGCAACCGCCACACCGTGTCCCACTTAACCAGTGGGAAAATGTATTGTTAGATGTTGTTTCAGAGGAACTGTCGACAGCAAAATTAAAAGGATTAGAGCAAGATCAGACCCCAGATGTGAAATTTAGATACATTTTGGAAATAATGCCCATGTTGTATTGTCCTTATCTGTCAATGATCTGTTATCTTTTATAGTTTTTTTTGTGGTTGTTATCACGTGTATTTTGTAAGAATCATGTAAGATGACAATTGGCAGGAGCTTCTGGTAATAAGTTGGAAGTGGGAAGAGGGGTTAATTAACTAAAGATTGCGGAGGGCAGGCTGGAGAATAATGCTGTGGATAATTAGTAAAAATAATATTATTGTAAACATCACAGGTTAGGTTCAGTAACTTTACTTAATCAGTCTCATAATGATTAAGAGATATCTAAAGAGATAATAAAGATTTAAATGTCCGTTACATTTTATTTCCTATGGTTAATAATGCTGCAGCTAGCAGATACAGATCTGTATTTCGTATATTTTAACTTACGGTTGTATCTACGGAATTTCTTTTTTGTGACTAAAAAGGACGCATTGTATCCCCAAATGCTGTTATATGAACATGAAAGTGAAAATATACTGTTTTAATAAGTAATATTTATATTAATAAAACGAGCAACTGTTCATGACCTTCACAATCTTGATGACAGAGTAGTACCATAAGTTAAAAGGGTACGCTTTAGTTTAGATTAGTTTCATGATCATCACACTGGCTGACGAAGCAGTCAGAAGCCTAATGGAAAATATACTTTACACTGTAGTGTCGGCTGACCCCAAAATGTTTGCTGGCCTCAAACTCCTCGTTTGACACCTTTACTGCAGCTCAGTGACAAAAACCAAAGCACCATAACAATATATCTGTGACCTGAGAATTACTGTACGACCGCATGCTAGGTAAAAAAACATAACAGCTGAGAGGGAGACAGAAGTGAGAACACACAACAACACTGCCTGCACTCTGTGCCATGTGAATAGCAAACAGCAAGGCAGGATTAGCCAGGTGGCAGCTGCTGGTCCAGCTGGTCTTGATGTCAGCACCCAAAGTTAGAGAACACTTGTTGGACACACTGAACCAATTCTCATGGTCTCACACAATGGTGCCCTTTCTCTTCAATTAGTAATGCGATCAACAAGTCTCTCACCGAGCACTCACATTAAAAAGCTGCTTTAAAAATTGGGTGCAAGTCAAACAACAAAAGTTGCAAAGTAAAAAACAAATATTGGACAGCATATTATAAATATGTTCTCAATTATTGATTCCACAGACAAATTTATGAAGGAATACATCTAAAAGGAACATAAAAAAAAGAAGAAGAGAAACTTGCAATCCACAGATAATATAAAACATTCATCAGCCATTTATCAGAAGAGGAAACCATAAGAGTGACCCATTTCTTCTCAGACTAAAACTTTCGCCTTACATCAGATCAGGCAACAGGAAGAGATGTCGTAGATTTTGTCCTGCACCCTGATGATTCACAACCGGTGTGTCCCACTTTATTTACAGTAGCTCGGCAAAGGAGAATGGCAACAGCAGTATCAAGTGATAAGACAATGTAGAAAAAATCCAAATCTGAATGTCTTCTCTTGGTCACAGTACTTATTGTTTTTTACTGGCCCTATGGAGTCCACCATGTATCCCATATAAGACTATTCTTTACTGACCCAAATATGTGAAACCATGCTATTGTATGTTGAACTCTAATGCTTACCTAAGTCACGTTGTAATAAAAAGTTCACATGAAATACCATCTAAAGAGGTGCCAGTCTGTCACTCTCTTCAGACAGAGAAAGTGTCTTCTGGCCATGGGCTGCCTAGGATATTACCTTATTGCTGTAGAGAGTCACAGGCTGTGACCTTTGGCTTACTTTAGTTCTGCAAATGAGTCTAATGTGACCTGTGTGATACTACCCAGAAAGGTACCACACGGTCGGTCCTTCTGTATTACCAGGGGGTACGTGGAAAGATTGTGGAGAAGCTCAAGTAACCAGAAAAAACAGAAATTATGATTTGTTTGTGTTTAGGAGAAAAATAACCAACTAAATGGAACCAGCCAAACTAGTGTAATACTGAGCTTGTGTAAATTTATTACATAACCACAATGACCACTAATCTACCAGCTACAATAGGCTAACTGCACAGTACACACCTCCCACCGACCTTAAAGCCACATGTTGCCACTAATAGTGCTTGAAAACTAGTTAGTTAGCAAGCTAGCAGAGAAGTCAAAATAGATAGATAGAAATAATGGTGAAAGTGGTTTGAATAGTTAACTAAGAGAGAATAAAAACATAAAATAATTATCCTAAAATCAATTGATAAACGGTTGAAATAGTTAGCTAAAGTAATGGATAAAATATTGAAATAGCTCAAAGTAATAGATAAAATGTTGAAATAGCTAAAAATAACTGATAAATGGCTGAAATACTGACATAACTAAAAGTAATGGAAAAACAGGTGAAATAGTTAGCTTCTGCTATACTTCAAGTGGTACAAGGAATGCAAAGCAAATCCAATTGACAATTCAATTATGTGTAAACAAATATTATTGTAACAATATCAGCTTTCTATAGTGTTACTTAACGTTCACTTTAAAACCAACTGAAATGAACACATTATAACATGATGGGTGTTGATGAGAGTGTACTTCCATCCAATAGAGATTACATCAGACAAAAAGGATGAGTACCACTCTTGTGGAGGATTATGTAACTTATTAAGACCAGCGGTGATTCATACAGTCAGTCTGAAAAGGCAGAAAAGCAGCTTACGCTGCATACAAAAACAGTGTTTTGTCATCACATGTGTGAGGAGTCAGTGAATGAGCAACTTCTTCGACTGTTTTTGTTTCGTCTGCCTGCCCAGGCGCAGTTTCCAGATGGTGAGACACTACGAAAGACAAAGTAGATCTTAGACAGCTAGAAAGACACCGGACACCACGAATAAACAGACACCCCCAAATTACTACTGTATATTTCTCAGCCCAGTGATGCATGCACAGAGGAGAGTTTCTGCTTCAGCCTGGCGGAGTTGGCTTGAAAAAACGCACCCAGATGACTCTCTGCAAACAATGCATTTTGGTCATTCATCAACTGTATAATGTGCTGACTAAACTGTCTGTCTTTTTCCCCTCAATTAACACAAAGCACTGTTTGTATTTCCATAAGGAGGAGATAGTTGGGACAGCATCTCAGGTGGATTCTTTCATTGAGTTGTGCTTTATGACAGGAAACAAGTTACGGCACAGATAGTCTGATCAACAGTTTGGCTTTTACAAAATGCAGACGCCACATTCCCGTAGAAATAAGTTATGAAAGAAACTCTGCATTTACCTAAATATTATTCTATCCCTTATATACAGGAACTCCAAAACACCACAATGAGTTACTGCCAAAACAGCTCACCATATGTTTATGCAGCCAGTGTGCGTAATCACAATCTACAATCCTGCTGGGTGTCGTGTAACAAACCCCGCAAACCTCATCGCATTCAGACCACAAGCCACAGGTAGACCTCCAATCACAGCATCTGCCAAACTCACATATGGATGCAAAATACCACTTAAACCGTCTACGATGAAGTCCTCCAAACAAGTAAATTTCAGTGTCCTGTGTTGTGTCCTGTGGCTTTACAGATGGCAACGTCAGACTATTGGTCGTTCTACCACTTTGGTCCAGACTGAAATATATCAACTACTGAATGGATAGCCATGACAATGTGTACCGACATTTGCGGTCCCCGGAGGGTGAAACCTTCTGACTTTGGTGACCATATGACTTTCCTTTAGTGCCACATGAGGTTTGAGTGAAAGGTTTCAACAGCTATTCAGTATATTGCTCCACACGTTCATGTCTCCATCAGGATGAATTATAATAACTTCACCTGACTTTATTTGACCCACCATCAGGTCAA